GAGGTGGTGACATGTGTGGCCCAAGGGATCTCCTCACATGTCAGTTGTGAACTGAGTCTCTTGCCATGACGCAGCTGACCTGACTCTCTCAAGATGGTGCGGTTGACCTGACCTAACTTCCTTCCTCATGTGGTGGCCCTGCCCTGTATCCCTCTAAGTTAGGTTTAATCCATAATTCTGAGTTTGATCTATAATTCTGGCTGGATGTGAACCGAGCCCGTTAGATATCTCAACGACAAAAACCAAAAAGTGATTGCATTTAATTATTAGTGGAAGCTTGAACCGTTTTGACAAACAAATTGTATATTATTAAGAAATTAGAAAGGATTTATGTGTACTTTGAAACCAAAGCATAGGAGATATTAATAATTTCTTTTATTTTGCAACAGTAGAATATGTTTGTCCTTCAACCAATCGCAATTACTTGATAAAACAAAGAAAAACAATAGCGAGTTGAATAGGTAATAATGAGGTATGTAAATGAAATTATAATTACTTTGTAATGTCCTCCTGTTAGTGTGGTAGTGAAAATTCTTCATGCAATGCCTAATTCCACTAAATTTAAGATTTGTCATTCCATAATATATTGGTAATATTTTCTATTTTCAACTACCACCTCTCGTCACAAGTATAAATGGCAACCACCATCGTTGCCACCACCACCATCTCTATTTGGGGTCGGGCTATGGGTCCACGGTCAAGGTTCAAATTTAGGACAAGTATGGGGTAGTATCCAGAATCTAGTTTTGAGTCTTAGGAAGTATTTATGTTCGAGGTTAGGTCTAGATCTAGGTCCAGTGTATAGGTTGATTCTGAACCAAAATCAAAAGATCATTTTGAAATTGTAAAAACGGCCGAAATATTTTTTTTTCTGAGGAGATAAAAATGAACCATTGATTGAATCAAAATTACAACACTTTGAGGTATTTTGAAATGTTTCAAGGTGTTTCAAATTTTTTCAATAGTTTGACCAATATTTTAGATTTTTTTAAAATAAAATTCTAAATTTTTATTTATTTTCATTATGTTTCCGAAACGTTTCTAAAATATTTTTAAAACTTTTTTGTTTCATAGGTGACCGAATAATGCATTAAAACAAAATTTTAATTATTGGGTCAGGGCTTGGGAGTTGGGTCAAGTATGGGTCTAAGGTTGGGGCCAAGTCTGATTCGATTTGGTTGGTTCGTCCCCGTTCTGGGTCTGAGTCCAAGGTTGGACAGGTCGACCTCAAGTTCGAGCTCGAGTGTAGGGTCTAGGTCTGATTTATGGCGGCTTTGGTTCTTGATTCGAGATTAGATCTGAGTGTGGGTGTACATAGGGTCGGCCTAGGCCTGTAAAAATGTTTTTGGGCTAGGTCTGAGTAGGGTAAGTCTAAGTCCTTATCTGGGTGAATTATCAGGCAAACCGGGTTGAATCGGAATTTGAGTAGGGGTAGATTATTGGTCAAGCCTCAGAAACAAAAACCAAAAAGTGATTGCATTTAATTATTAGTGGAAGCTTGAACCGTTTTGACAAACAAATTGTATATTATTGAGAAATTAGAAAGGATTTATGTGTACTTTGAAACCAAAGCATAGGAGATATTAATAATTTCTTTTATTTTGCAACAGTAGAATATGTTTGTCCTTCAACCAATCGCAATTACTTGATAAAACAAAGAAAAACAATAGCGAGTTGAATAGGTAATAATGAGGTATGTAAATGAAATTATAATTACTTTGTAATGTCCTCCTGTTAGTGTGGTAGTGAAAATTCTTCATGCAATGCCTAATTCCACTAAATTTAGGATTTGTCATTCCATAATATATTGGTAATATTTTATATTTTCAACTACCACCTCTCGTCACAAGTATAAATGACAACCACCATCGTTGCCACCACCACCATCTCTATTTGGGGTCGGGCTATGGGTCCACGGTCAAGGTTCAAATTTAGGACAAGTATGGGGTAGTATCCAGAATCTAGTTTTGAGTCTTAGGAAGTATTTATGTTCAAGGTTATGTCTAGATCTAGGTCCAGTGTATAGGTTGATTCTGAGCCAAAATCAAAAGATCATTTTGAAATTGTAAAAACGGCCGAAATGTTTTTGTTTCTGAGGAGATAAAAATGAACCATTGATTGAATTAAAATTACAACACTTTGAGGTATTTTGAAATGTTTCAAGGTGTTTCAAATTTTTTCAATAGTTTGACCAATATTTTAGATTTTTTTAAAATAAAATTCTAAATTTTTATTTATTTTCATTATGTTTCCGAAACGTTTCTAAAATATTTTTAAAACTTTTTTGTTTCATAGGTGACCGAATAATGCATTAAAACAAAATTTTAATTATTGGGTCAGGGCTTGGGAGTTGGGTCAAGTATGGGTCTGAGGTTGGGGCCAGGTCTGATTCGATTTGGTTGGTTCGTTCCCGTTCTGGGTCTGAGTCCAAGGTTGGACAGGTCGACCTCAAGTTCGAGCTCGAGTGTAGGTCTAGGTCTGATTTATGGCGGCTTTGGTTCTTGATTTGAGATTAGATCTGAGTGTGGGTGTCCATAGGGTCGGCCTAGGCCTGTAAAAATAAAAATGTTTCGAAAAGTTTGAGGTATTTTGAAATGTTTCATGGTGTTTCAAATTTTTTCAAAATGTTTCGACATATTTTCACTAATATTTTAGATTTTTTTGAGATGTTTTAAGACGTTTTTGAAATAGTTTGACCAATATTTTAGATTTTTTTAAAATAAAATTCTAAATTTTTATTTATTTTCATTATGTTTCCGAAACATTTCTAAAATATTTTTAAAACTTTTTCGTTTCATAGGTGACCGAATAATGCATTAAAACAAAATTTTAATTATTGGGTCAGGGCTTGGGAGTTGGGTCAAGTATGGGTCTGAGGTTGGGGCCAGGTCTCATTCGATTTGGGTGGTTCGTCCCCGTTCTGGGTCTGAGTCCAAGGTTGGACAGGTTGACATCAAGTTCGAGCTCGAGTCTATGGTCTAGGTCTGATTTATGGCGGCGTTGGTTCTTGATTCGAGATTAGATCTGAGCGTGGGTGTCCATGAGTAGGGTCAGCCTAGGCCTGTATAAATTTTTTTGGGTTAGGCCTGGGTAGTGTAAACCCAAGTCTTTACCTGGGTAAATTATTAGGCAAATCGGACCGAATTGGACTTTGAGTAGAGGTAGATTATTGGTCAAGCCTCGCAGGTGGGCCTTTTTTTTTGTTATGTGTATATATATATAATAATAATAAATAATTTGATTTGAGAGAAATTATTTAGCATTTAAGCAAATAATGAATAAAGAATAATACCGTAGATTACTCAACTTAATATTTAAGTAAATAACCTTTTCTTTTAAAGGAATATGCCACCTAATTTTTCATGGTTAATTTTTTTCTTTAAATAAAGTGGGTGGACAAACGGGTGGGTTCTAACGGTTGGACTAATGGGCTGAGTTTTGGGCTGGATAATGGACTTGGAGCAGGCCTAAGCCCTATCTTGAAGGAACTACTGGGCCTAGGGCATATAATTCTGCTCTATTGCAACAAAATAGATCTGAACGCAATAATTATTGATGGAAAAGTTTACGGTACTATTGGCAGTAAAATTATAACTTTTTAATGTGTAAGCTATAATTTTAGAGGGTATGGTCGATCAAGAAAGGTTGGATCGATACCAAAGTTTTCAAGATCGATCATAGGTATCTGTAATCGATCATAGTTTTCCCTTGAATAATTATAATTTCTCATTTAAAAGTTATAACATTACTCATAAAAAGTGAAAATCGATGGTACGATACTGTAGATTTTCTCATTATTGATATAATCTCCGTTATCATATTATTGCAATTAAGTCAAAAAGCTTATGACCCGTCGATGATACAAGGGATAGATACTTAATTTTTATTTTCAAAGTTTATGTAATGTGTATAAAAATCTAGATATGTAAAAATATATAGGTAAATATGTATGCAATTGCTGACGATGTTGTCCAAAAAGTCTATATGATGATGCCCATTAAACAAATGGAAAATTTTTTTAAAATGAGAAATGCTGAGGACACCACGAGGTATCATGCTATATATAAAATTTTTGAATTGGTTGTTGTTGGAATAAATATTTTAGAGTTAAGGTTTGTTCTGAAGAGCACGTTTGAGGAATCTTCATATTTTTTTGTGATTCTCCCAAATGAAAGACAGCTCTAAAGCATGGAGGAGAGGGATATGCCAACCAGCCACCAATCATTTCTCTCTCTCTATGTTACAAGTTTGAACTTGAATATACTTCTTTTTTTTTTCCTATGCCGACAATGTGGTGGAAAGTGGCTCTATAGGATTGGTTACTTTTGTTTTAAATTTATATTAAGTGTGTAAGAATGGATCTAGGGTTTATGTAGTATTTGCTAATTGACCCTTATAATTATATTGAATTCACTATAGAACTTTTGGTCGCTTTTAAAATCATGACTTGCACAGAGGTTATTTAGCATTGAGAATTGCAAGAATAATTTAGAACTTTTTTTGTTATTTTCAAAATCATGACTTAACAAAGGGTATTTAGTTTTGAGGAGTAGGTAAATGAGTAAGAATTTTTTGTTGCTTTTAAGATCGCGGTTTGTACAAAAGTTATCCTAGTTTTGAGGACTAGATTAATGAGTCGATGGTTATGCCTTATTTAAAAATTTTCTTACAAGATTAGGAAACTCTAAAACTTGAATTTTGTGTTATTTGTTGCATTTAGTGTGCTGTTAACACAATTGAAGAACTCTAGTCATCACACAATCATCCCCCCCCAAGAGAGAGAGAGTATGTTAAGAAAATGAGTGTGAAACCAAAGTGGTAGTTTGGTTTTGAATTATAGTATAGAGAAAGATCATAAACTGGTGAAGAACAGTTCTTTAGAGTTGCATATATATTTCTATATATGACTTGCATTTTCAAAGTAATATTGATGTCCATCCAAACTGATCAGAGGGAACATTTCGTAAGCTCACGATATTTACGGTTCGCATCGCATTCTAAATCGAAGTAGAAACATTTTGCTTCTATGTACAAGTTTAATCCTACATTTTGAGTCAACTTTTTACAAAAATGTGCCCAAAAATTAATCAAGTTACTAGAAAGAGAAAAAAAATCAATACTAAACAATTGGGCAAAAAGAGAAACTAGTAATTTATATATCAGGCTCCGGTAAAGTCCAAATAGAAGCCGAGAGTAAACGCCGAGATTTCCATCCTAAAACCAGTTTATTGTTGGCCAATTCCTCCACCCTATAGCCATCATTGAAAAGTCCCAACAACAACTTTGCCTGACAATGATTTGCAAAGCTTATGTTAACTTGATGGAACCCCGTGGCACCCAACAACTGCCCCCATGAGCACCCCTCGTTGTCACCCCCCCGCCCACGGTAGATCTGGGCCAATGACCTGGATATACGGGGCCCCAAGAAGACCCGCTCCACCAATGCACAAGCGTGATTTTGCATTGGGAACCCTGCTTGGAGCGAATCATAGACCGCTGAGTAATGATGCAAATAATTCATGAACCGACTCATAAACCCTCCGTCCCCCATGGGTCGCATCTCCTCCTCCACTAGGGTCACTAGTCTTGGATTTAAGGTCTTTGATCCGGATAAAAACGAAGCTACCGAATCCGGTGCACGATAGTTGAAGTGGGGTAAGTTGAGCATACAATTGATAACAAGAGCCTCCCCTTTAATCAACTTCACAGTTGACGGTCTAAAGGTTTCATCAAAGTTCAACTTACATTGATGAAAGGAGAATGATTGGCCAATGGATGCCGCGAATGCAACCAATCGACGCCCTGTCTCTTGGACGCTCCCGATTGATCGACGATTGGGCCCACCCCTTGATATCGCTGTGATCCTCAGATGTGGGGCCAGGGCCCCATCCTTTCTTGACACCAAAGCTTGCATCAATGAGGCCCATTGGATCCCCTCCATTATATCATAGTCTACTATATGGACTCTCCTATCATGTGCCACAGCTTCTAAAATGGCCTGATTGGCTGTGAAGTGTCCAAACTTAACATAAGGGGCCATGTCTTGTAATAGCTGAAACGCAGCAAGGATGTCCGTCTGATGATGATCATCCCGATGGTGGGGTCCACTACTGAACATATGCTTACCGTGCACACCATTACTGGCACCTTCTAGCAAACCCTGCAGGGCCTCGGTAAAATACGCCGCCAACCTCTCCATGTTGGTGCCGTTGTTTGGACTAGGAGATACCAACTCTTTGAGCCGGAACAGTATCACCCGAGCTAGGTCACGGCTCTTGTTGACTCCAGTCAGCGCCTCCGCCGCGGCCATCAGGAGGTGGACAAGCCTTAGCCCTTTACAATCTTCGGTGTCGTTTCTTTTATCATCCACTATCATTGGTTCTGGGGACAATACTGAGTTGTACCCTTCTCGGTTAAACCTATATGGGTGGTGTAGCCCGGTGTTATCATCCATCATCGATTCAACGAGGTTTTGGAAGTCGTCGTCGTGACCACCTGAAATAGTGTGCCAGTCGACTACCGGCGACCAGTCGTTCCAGTTGCAGCCCCGATCACCATCTATAGAGATCGTAGGAGTGTTAGTAGTAGTGGTGAAGAAAGTGGTAGTAGTGGTGGTGGTGGCGGCATAACAGGATAAATTAAGGTCAGCAATGATGCCATTGACAACCATGGCCATAGCTAAGCTAAGTAGATTACTACTATGCAAAATTTGTTTGTGTCTGGATTTTTTGGGTATGAAGCGGCGTTGGAATTTAAGTGAGTTTGGAGAGAGGAAAGAGATGAAATAAGAGACAGCATAGCTAGGAAGTGATTGGCTTTAAGGGTTTTATAGAAAATGACAATGAAAGATTGTCAACTATGATGGCCTACTGCGATGATAGGCTTAATTAGTTGGTTATTATATATTTTTATGTGAGTCTTCATCAATGTCATGAATAATATTTTTGGGGTTAATTACTTTAGTGCCCTCGATTTAAATAGATAATTTCAAACCATCTTTTTTTTTCTCTGATTTTGATTTCAATCCTGCCTATCTCAAGAACTACCGTTTATCGTTTTTCCTTTTGGTTCAGCGGTCAAAACGTGATCAAAAGTAAATTATCTAAGTCAAGATTAAGATATTCATAAAGATAAAATACCTCAGACTCTAAAAAATTATTAAAATTTGAACTCAAGATATTTAAATTTATAGTTCATTCCTGTTACTTGGATTATCTTTTAATGTTAAAAACTATTATTTTTGGGTTGCAAACAAGAACATTTTTTAATAGGTCAAACACCCTTATTTGATAAAAAAAAAAAATAGAGCAATACTATAGAAAACTAATTTGAGGACATAAATTAATACATTTAATTGGAATAGTTTTACGTAGATTTTTATTTTGGTCACAATTTCTCGCCGGTTCATTTTGGTCACAATTTTTTGTCTCTTTTTTGGGATTAGGTTTTTTTAATTTAATTTTATTAATACTATTTAAACCTAATTTATTAACGAATCATAATCCATGGATTAATATCAAATTTTTAAAACTATTGAAATTCATTGTCAATATTTTATAATTATGATATTTTAGATTAATCAATTAAATTCAAATAGCATGGCTCTTTTTTATTTTTGTATCAAAACCAAATGGTCACCATTGAACCATCATACTCAGCAAAGCACCCTGCCACATGAATTGGCGACATTTAAACAAAATTGGCATAAAGATATGAAGATGTCACCTACTGTACTTGTTTGATTGCTTTGCAATTTCAAGTACAACCAATGATAGATGTAGGACACGGGGCTGGGTAATTCCCCCTACCAATAAATTAAAAAATTTCCTATTCTTCGTACTATTAGTTATAAATACCATCCGTTATGTAATTTATTTAAGAATTAGTTATTATATGTGACTGAAGGCACATAATAATAAAAAATAAATATATTTATATTCATATCTAAAATCAAATTACAAATATAAAAAAGAGATAAATAAATTTAAGCATCAATTTATAGTGAAAGTGAGAGGTGGTGATAGTGGTGATGGTGACAGCGACGACAATGGTGGTGGTAATGACGACGATGACAATGGTGGTGGTAACGGTGGCGATGGTGGTGGGCGTGGCGGTGGTGGTGACAGTGACAGTGACGACAACGATGGTGATGGTGGCTGCAGTGGCAATGATGGTGATGGTGGTGGTGATGGTGCTTTGGTGGTGGTGGGGGTGGCGATGGTGGAGACGGCGACGGTGGTGGTGGCGATTGCAATGATGGTGGGAGCGATGGTGGTTGCGGGAGCGGTGGTGGAGGCGACGATAACGGTAGTGGTGGCGGCGATAATAACGGTGGTAGTAGTGGTGGCGATGACAGTGATGATTGTTGCGACAATAACATTGGCAGTGGTGGTGGTGGTAATGGGGGTGACGGTGATACAGGTGGTGGTGGAGAGGTTGCAAATATTAATTTTTTTAAAAAATATTAATTTTTTTAAAAAAAGTCACTTCAAACACACCCTTAGATCCCTATTTTCCCTATTAAATTTAGAGTGTTAATATTAACTGTTAAATTAAATTTAAAGTAAAATTTAAAACTATCTCAAACACGAATTGCAAAAGTTATTTTGTTTATTGAGATTTAAATTATAAACTACTTTATTATATAGATTTGCAAGATCGCCCTCATTATTTATTTGTAGTTTGAAATAATACGTAATGTTCCTATTGAAATTTATAGGTTTTTGGCTCATGTTGCACTAAACAACACCAGGTTAGGACAAAAAAAGTTTAAAGCATTCTCATTTAACTGTATTTTATTTTATTTTATTTTATTTTTGTTACATGGTGTTTAGACTTGCGTCAACTACTCCTTCGAACTTTGAATCGATCACCATAACTCGAACTAGTTTAATGACATATCCCCTAAGAAATAAGGGTGACTGACCCTTTAGGGACTTATTTGGATGAATTTTGGGGAAGGGATTGGATTAGTTTCTCCAAACTTTTTCAAACTCAAATCCCTCTTTATAAAGATTAGATTCAACATTCAATTCGGTTCATTTCTATGTTTGGTATGCAACACATGCAAATGTAAGACCCACGGATATATCATAATTATTAACAACTATTTATCTTGTAAATGACTATTTTACCTTTAATTAATTCAATTCATACCTATGTTAAGGGGTACAATTATTTTTTGCATCTTAACCCCTTAACTTATCTTCTCAAATTCATCCCCGTCCCTAAATTTGATGAAACTCATGATCTTGGATATATTCTTCGGGCTAGTTACGAGTCGAATTTAAAAACTCGAGATTGAATTTTCAATTCAAACATGAGATTTGAGGGTCATTTGGACTATTTTTTTCAAATCTCTCTTGTCAAGCCCCCCCATACCCTTTTACCAAATAGTCTCTAGGGGTTTGAGAAATATCGAACTTAAGACCTCTTTTTGGCAAGAGGATAGGCTTGACTACCCTGAGGGTTTAACTTTATTTTGTTAAAAAACTGAATAGTTTGAGTTGAAATCTTTCCCGTAATTACTTTATAGCAACTTTATTTCGGTACCGAAAATAACATTTGGGTGTAGTAATTTTACCTTACTTGGAATAGTTGACATGTCTTAACAGTCATGGGAAGAAGCCCTGCAATGAGAGTTAAAACAAAAGCCAAAATTCATATCAAAACTACACACAGAGAAACAAAAATTACAATGAAGTTAAATGGATAATACCCTTAAAACGACCTTCCTTGAACGGCAGAGAACGATTGGACCCCATATGCTTAGAAATATTCAAATTGAAAGCTCAAGGCAATGTAATCTTCACCATTTAGTTACCCAAAACATTCAAAGAGATCAGTTGACTGGTCTTTTTCACTGTAATGACCATGTCACTTAGCTCCACCACATTACCCTTGCCGGCTTCACCGGCGCAACCCATCTTCTTTGCCCAACCCACTACGGTCAGCATGTTTTGGCCTTTTTTTATTTCTTGCTTTTGATAAGACGAAAGGAATGTCTACCCTTTACATAAAGAAAGGAAAACAACCAAAAACAAAAAATACAAGTGCATTGAACTGATTCCCTTACAAAAAATTTGAAAAATACCCTCATACAACACCGTTGGTCCATCACTCATGATATCGGATTATATATCAGATCAAAAATTTGAAAGTTTTTACATGTAGTACCTAGAGTCATACCGTCTTTAACTGCAAATCGTCAATTTGTCATAGTTTCATTTTTACGAATTCTTTCAATTCACAATAACATAGAAGAATAAAAGGAATCAAATGCATTGAAGTCTTTGTGGTCGATTCATCTTGTTCCCGAGTTCTCGCCTCTTTGTTGGGATGAAGATTATTATGGCCACCATTGAATCATTATACTCAACAAAAGACCCCACTGCATGAATTGGCAATCATATAAACAAAATAGGCATAAACAGAAAGATTTCACCAACTGTAGTTGCTGATTGCTTTTACAATTTCAAGTACAACCAATGGTGGATATAGAACATATGGCAGGGTGATTACCGGCCCCTATGTAAGATTTTAAAAATCTCCGATTTGTCCTAGTATTAGTTATAAATACCCTCAAATTATGTAGTTAGTAAAAACTTATTTATATTCAATTAAAATCTCACCCTCATTTTACAATAAGTTGATTACGATATCAAAAAATAACATCTCTTTATAGTAGTCTCACCCTACTTGAAATCGCTGTATTAGAGAGACAAAAAAAAGTGCAATGGAGTAAAATGAGTAATCTATATAATAAAGTACAATACAATTTAAATCTAAAAAAATAAACAAAATAACTTTTACTATTTGTGGTTGAAATATTTTTAAATTTTACTTTAAAATTAATTCGACGGCTAATATTAATACCCCAAATTTAATAGAAAAAATAGGTTCTTAAGGGTGTGTTTGGTGTGATTTTTCAAAAATATTTCTAGAAATTATTTCTCATAAGTATTTTTTTTTAAAAAAGTAGTGTTTGGAATCGCCCTACCACTAACTCTACTACCACTATCTCCACCGCTCCATTACTATCACTACCACTACTACCACCACCATTACCACCACTCCCACCACCATCGTCGCCGCTACCATCACTATCGCCACCCTACCATACCTACCACTCAACCACCGCCGCTACCACCATCATCACCACTTCCATTGCCCCCACCACCACCGCCCACCACTAAAACCACCATCATCAATACCATTGTCACCACCGTCTCACCACCATCGTTGTCGTATCGTACCAGTATCACCACCGTTACTTTTGCACCCTATCGCCCTACTACCACCCCTATAACCATCACAACTACCACCACCATCGCCAACCCACCACCGATTGTTATCATCGTTGTCTATGGCCATCACATACTATCATCGTTATTTTATTTTTATATTTATTACCATTACTATCATCATCTCACTACTACCATCGCCTACCGTCAGCACCCATCACTACCCATCGTCGTCCACCATATTGCCACCAGCCACTATCACTTACGCTCACCACACCTACCATCACCACCTATTATTGTCTACCACTGCAGCCACCCACTGTCACCTACCCCCACCACACTTACCACCGCTATCATTCACCACCACCCATCGTTGCCCACCATCACCATTATCACTGCCCACCACCACCGTCGCGTCCCACCACCACCATTGCCAACCACCATCACGATCATCCACCACCACCCACACCCACTGCCACTATCGTTGCCATCCACAGCTACCACTATCATCATCGTCACTCAAAATCTACCACCACCATCACTATTGCTACCCACGGTTGCTATCACCATAATGATCGTCGCCTTATCCACCATAACCATCACTGTCTCCTACCATCACTATTGAAGCCCACCACCACTACCACTGCTCACACCCATTATAATCAGTGATTAAATTTTTTTATCTCTCGTCTATATTTGTGATTTGATTTTGAATGTGAATACAAATATGCTGACCATTTTTTTTATTACTCCGTATCTTCAAGCACAAAAAATAACTAATACCTTAGGTAAACAGCAAGAAATGATTGGATCAATTAGTTACCCAAAATATTCAAAGAAAGATCAGTTAACAGGTCTTTTGTACTGTACTATATGACCTTGTCACTAGGTCCACCACATCACCCTTGCCAGCTCCACCGACACAGCTGTCTTCTCTTCCCAACCCACTATAAGGATGAGTTGGGACACTACATGCATGTGAGAATCCCACATCTAACAGGATAGTCCAAATATTCTTTGAACTAGTTTGTGTTATAATATTTTATCCCTATAAATATAGTTGTCATAATCAACAAAACATTAAATAATCAAGATTGGAGTCCTTCCACCGAAGNCCGCCCCACGACCATCACCACTACCACCATTGTTGCCACTACTCCCACTATCGCACCGCCTCCATCACCATCATCACCACCACCACTCACCGCCACTCATCATTATTCTTATATTTATTACTACTACTACCATCATCTCACTATTATCGTTTCCACCCACCACCATCCTATTGTTTCCCACCATCACCCGTCGTCGCCCACTATTGTCGCCAGCCACTATCACCCACCTCCACCTCCACCACACCTACCACCACTGCCACAGTCGTTGCCGCCCATCACAACCATCATCGTCTCCTACCACCACCACTGCCATCCACCACCTATCACCCTCACTACAACCGGTGTTTAAATTCTTTTCTCTCTCCTCTATGTTTGTGATTTGATTTTGGGTGTGAATACAAATATTTATTGTTGACCATTTTTTTATTACTGTGTGTCTTCAGGCATAGACAATAACTAGTACATTAATATGACATACATATACACATCTATCATAACATTCATATAACATCTATAAAACATATATATAACAATATCAGTAAGATTCAATGGAGAGAGAGAGAGAGAAAGATAGAGAGAGGCTTGAGTTGTCGCCTGAGCCAGAGGGGATCGAACAGAGGAGTTGTCACCTGAGCTGTCATTGTTCATCGCTTGAGGAAGAGGAAGACCAAAGAAAGGAGGAGAATCAAGCCTTCAAGTTGCCTGATTTAGAGAGATGGAGTGGTTGTTCTTCGCTTGACTCGAATTTCCAATCGTTTGGTTTACAAAATTCGTCCGATTCATGGTTCTTGTCCAAAATCGGCCAGTTTCACGATTCTTAGGCAGTTTGATTCCTTAGGTAGAATTGAATTGTTTTAGGTCCCGATTCACAGTTTAGTCGGTCTAATTGGTCGGTTTGGTCCAGTCCAATTTTGATAACACTATTTAGAAGGTCTTAAAAAAAAACCAAAAAACAATTTTTCGCAATTAAAGCTTAAATGTTTATTATCTATACACTACCATCTCCTCACTCTCTATGCCAAAGTAGAAAAAGTTCATAAACAAAACACTTGTGCTATTGTGATCAGTAGCATGCATTTAATGATGAGACTCATTGCAACATTAAATGCGAGTATCACTCCATTGACCACAACGTATTATACCTTACTCCTCACCCACAGGTTGGCAGTTCGAATTCTGGAGTCCCCATTAGGGCTCGATAGTAGGCCACTATGTTAGTCTAGCTAGGTCTGGTCCCGAGAGGTGTTGGAGATGAGGTCAGAGGCCTTATGATCTCACCAGTGAGGGCTTAACGTGGTGGTCGTTGAGCGCTCTTCCTTGCCCCTACCCCTTTTTTAATTATCAAAAAAAAAAAA